AGAGAGAGAGAGAGAGAGAGAGAGAGAGAGAGAGAGAGAGAGAGAGAGAGAGAGCAAAGAAGTGGGCGCACGCGTGGGTAGCGGGCGCGTGGGTGATTATATGAACATTGGATGATGATGATGATGGAGGATGACATCATGATGATGGCGAGTCATGATGATGGTGACGACGATGACGACGACGACGACCGAGTCTGCGACAACCATAATGACGACGACGACGGCGATGATGATGATGATGATGATGATGGTGATGATGATGATGATGATGATGATGATGATGACGATGATGACGACGACGACGGCGATGATGATGATGATGGTGATGATGATGATGATGATGATGATGATGATGACGACGATGATGATGATGATGATAACGATGATGATAACGATGATGATAACGATGACGATGATGATGATGATGATAACGATGATGATGATGATGATGATGATGAGGGTGAGGAGGAGGAGGAGGAGGAGGAGGAGGAGGAGGACACCCATCAAATGCAGCCCACCCTCAACCCATGAATTTCCACCCCCGCACCCCCGCCCCCCCCCACCAACCCCATGAATTTTTTTTTGGCAGATCAATATGTTTTCTGCGGATTCGGGGAGATCTCGACAAGCGCAGTCCAACTCCATCATTAAAAAAAAAACATAAAAAAAAATTGACCCGGTTTTGGGCCAAACCAGAATTCCGGTTGGACCACCAGGCTTCCAACCGACCCGGTTGGGTCCGGTCCGGTCCAACCGGCCGGTGGCCGGTGCAGCCCTGCTAATATAGCAATATGCTATATCCAGAACCAACCCTGGAGCCAACCAACCTCAAGAGTAAGTCAATGAGGACACAATAGGCAGGGGTGAGGAACGGTATATACTTCCCCCCGATAGTAATCAACGCCCTCCGCTTGGGCCTTCCAGCCATAATTAAGATCATCAATCCTCATAAGATTATCATAAAGACTGACAGGGATATTTCTCACTGCAACAGAAAGGGGAAACTGCAAACGATTTCAACCACCAGCATTGCCCTCACATGAAATAAGGGTACCAACTCTACCGAGTGATGCTCAAGAAAGCCGTCATAAGAAGGAAGTGGAGACTTGTGGAGCCACAAAGAGCACGGAGAAGATATCGACTAACCTGGATGTACTCATGATGGGTTACACTCCCTCCCCTGAGTGTGGTGTTGAAGCCTGTTTTTTTTTTTTTTTTTTGAGATCACAGACGAACAATTTCCCATAAACCATCAGATTCCATCAGGCTTCCTTCAAAGAACAGCACAAGAACTCCATGCAATACCCCGCAATACAAACCCACTCCATTACTTAACCAGAGTTACCAGACAACAAATTCCCACTGATATAGCAGGAGAAAGGATGAGAGGTATTTGCATTAAACAGCAATTTTCCACTGTAGTGTTACAGCTGCTACGAGGAGGAGGAGCATCATTCGACATTCCTAACTAATGACCCCTAAAGAAAGTGAAGATGCCAGCAATATGCAGCAACTACAACTATTAATTAATGATCTGCTAATGAAAAAGCAGTGTAATTATTAACAAATGACCCACAGTTGAAGGCATGGTGCATAACTGTCTGCCACGAAAAAAAGCTTTGAAATTTTTAAATTGAAAGAGATCTTGCCCTGATTGCGTAATTTTAATTAAGTGGTAACTTCCGTAGAGTCACAGAAACGAGTTATAATTGCTCTACGGGGCAAGATACAGTCGCACTTCGGGCACCCTACCTGGCGAGAAAGCTGGGTTGTATACATTGCCCGAACTGCAATTAGAAACTGTATCTTGGCCCATAGTGCAATTATAACTCATTTTTGTGACTCCCGCATAGTTTCCCAACTTTCCCCTTTAATTAATTTCATTTGTTATTACTGTTTTGTTCAACAACTTCAGTTTGTTGTGATTTCCAGTAAAGGTTATTGAACCCCTATGGGTGATCAAGGAGGGATTCCTGTCATTGCCGAAAAGGCTCGTGTTTTTGTGCCTTTCTATAAGTTCATATTATTTCGCACTTTATACATGCATTGCACTCAAGATCTACTTGAAATTATGTACGCAGGTTGCTCAAGCTTTGCAGCCATGGCCGCCAAAAACGACAAAAAGCTAAGTCTCTCTCTCTCTCTCTCTCTCTCTCTCTCTCTCTCTCTCTCTCTCTCTCTCTCTCTCTCTC